GACCCCCTGCATGGTACATGCATCTCCTGATTCTGGCTTCTTCTGTTGCAATGGCATAGCTATTGGCTACTCACAGAAAATACCAATGTAGTCATAGAGTATCAAGCCACCATAAGTGCTAAAAATGAAAAGTATGTTGAGTATTATTGCTATGGTTCAAAGGAAGGTCGTAGGAATCCAGAGAGTTCTATACTGTCATCTTATGGTGCCTAAAAAAGAGAGGAGAAGAGAGGAGAGAAGGGGAGGGGAGGGAAGAGGAGGGGAGGGGAGGGGAGGGGAGGAGAGGAGAGGAGAGGAGTTTCCTAATCTAGTATAGCTGCGAGAATTCAAATACATTTTAATCTAAACATAGAAAGTGCTGGGCACAGTGTCTAACTGAGTTGGTACTCAGTATGCTTGGTCTCCTCCTCCATCATCACCCCATCACCGGTGTCATTCCTGAGGGTGAGCGGCTGAGGTTGGGGGATGGGGGATAGCTAACACGGTCTTCTCCTTGTGGGGAAATACATCCTTGACCCATGACTAGTGATGAGATAGAGGAAGGCGAGGCACTCTGTTTGCCACAGGGCTGTGCTGTGACCTCAAAATGGAAGTAGGCAGAAAGACTGACAGCCCCCTTGACAGATGGAGGTGCTGGACATGTTGTATCCAAGATTCCCATGCATTCTGAGTGACCTGACCAAAAGATTCTCTTTCTCTGGTCACACAAGACTTTGGAAAGATAACCCTCAAGACTGAATCCAGAGAGTAAACGGATGAGACTTCATGCTTGGTAGTGCAGAGTATCGATGAGGCCCTCACACTGGAGGCCAGAGGTTCTCAGTATCTTATTGTGTTTAAAATCAGCACAGTCAGCCCACAGCAACCATTGTTAGCTGCTCTCTGCAGCCAAGGAAACTGCCTGGACATGGTAGAAGTTTTCTCCATGTTGAGAGGGAACTCAGCTCTGTGGGCCTGTCTCTGTCCCACCTCCCTCCAAGGCCAGGGTTGCAAATGCATGCTGCTACATCTGTCTTTTATGTGATCTTTTCAGTTCCTCATGAGTACAGCAAAGACTTGGCTGGCTGAGCCATCTCCCCCACCTGCCTCCAAACTTCAATTTTGAACTTGGGTCTTAATCACCGAGCCATTCTGTCCTCAGCTGCAATAACGGACTTGTATCAGACACTGAACTCTAGTGCTCTGACCTTCATATTCATCTAGATATTTTCTTACATTAGAAAAAGATAATTATTTCAGTTCATGTATAAAGTTTTATGTGGTGATTTTTCATGAAAATGTCCCCTGTATGGGGTTGGGGATTTAGCTCAGTGGTAGAGCGCTTGCCTAGCAAGCGCAAGGCCCTGGGTTCGGTCCTCAGCTTCAGAAAAAAAAAAAAGACAAAATAACAGAAAATGTCCCCTGTAGGCTCGTACAGAGTGGTCTATTAAGGAGGTGTGGCCTTGTTGGAGGAAATGTGTCACTGGGATTGGACTTTGAGGTTTCAGAAGCTAAAGCCAGGCCCAATGGCTCTCGCTTTCTCTTCCTGATGCCTGCCAATCCTATCTGGATGTAGAATTCTTGGCTCCTTCTCCAGCTCCATGTCTGCCTGCATACCTCAGTGCTTCCTCCCATGGCAATAACTGACTAAACCTCTAAACTGTAACACAGCCCCAATTAAATATTTTCCTTTATAAGAGTTGCCATGGTTGCTGGGTGGTGGTGATACACACCTTTAATCCCAGCACTTGGGAGGCAGAGGCAAACAGATCTCAGTGAGTTCGAGGCAAGCCTGGTCTACAAAGCAAGGACCAGGAGAGCCAAACAGCCAAGACTGTTACACAGAGAAACCCTCAAAAACAACAACAACAAAAAAGAGTTGCCATGGTCATGGTGTCTCTTCAGAACAATAAAACCCTAACTAAGACACCCTATATGGAGTTCTCAAAAAGAAAAGCCTAATATAAAATCTTGGCATAATAGATCAATTATACATTTTATAAATCTCTATCATCTAGTTCTTAAAGCACTTTTGAATAAATGACATTTCCACATTTGAATTTCATAACTCTCTAAAGGGACAGGAAGGGACATTGTTCATCTGGATGATGAAATATGAAGAAACCCCGAGGCAGGGTGTTGTATGCTGATTTCATCTCAGGGCCACGTGTGGAGGACCTTTCTGCTTAGCACGTGAAAGATAGCCTACAAGATCTCATTTCACCACCCTCCCCTGAAGCCTCAGGGAAAAGGAGAAGCCAATGCTTGGCCCACCTTCCCACTTCTGGACACCGAGGTCCAGAGAGGTTCTGTGACCTGTCCAAGACCAAGCACAGTAAGCATCAGGCTAGGATGAGGCTCAGGGTTCCAGACTCAAGTTTCCTTGTCCTGTGCCTGTGGATCCCTGTGGAGCATCGTGTGGGCTGCAGATGTGGGATAATGCACAGCCAGGGATGACAACCACGGGATCGAGTCACTAGGAATGCCTGAGGAATTGTATGACACTCCATTGTTCCTCCTCCCTCATGTTCAGGACCTCACTCTTGGCTGTTTCTGCTCCCTGATCCTGCCCTTAACCCCTTGCAAGTGAGGAGTCTGTGAAACTTGCCTCAGTTCCTAACATGAGTCTTGATTTTCTGGTATCATTTGTAGTGACCTTTTCAAGAGGGGTAGGAAGTCTCTGAGCTAGAGTCACAGAGACATCAGGGACCTCAGTGAGGGGTAGACCCAAGATTGTCATGGCAACAGCTGCTTGGCTGCTCTCTGACTTTACAGGTCATGTGAGAGAGGGAGGAAGAAGAAGACTTAGAACATCACTGCCTAGGTCCAATAGGAGGATGTGAGAGAAACAGAAGGGTCCCTTGCATAGTGGGCATCCCTCTGAAGGTCTGGCCTTCCCTGAAAACGGAAAGATCCGGTGAATAGTGAGGCTGGGTTGGTCTGCCTGCCAGGCTGTGATGTTCCACAAACACACTGCCTGTTCCAACTCCTTAGTGGGTCCTCAGAGCTCTCCCGAGGGGCTACAGCCATCACTTGCTTTTCTTATTGTTGATAATGCACAGAAGAGAAGGGAAAAACAAAAACAGGCTACATCACACAATAAGACAGTTTTCTGTGGAAGATTTCCGAAGGCAAACATGAAAAGCGTATTGCTGTGCTCTGGGCTGTGATACAGAGTGCATTCTTCAGAGCTACAAAGTGTTTGACAAATAGGCAGTTGGAAACAGTCTTTAACGGGAATTTATCATTTCCCGACTATACGGATATTAAAATCGAATGGGCATTTGTATCCTTTAGCCACTGTTATCATTCATTCAAAACAATGTTTATTCTAGCCGCCTTCTCCCTGGTCTCAGCCAGCTTAATGAGTAGCAGGGTAAGGGTGGGGCTGCTGAGATCTGTGATTTGAGCAGGATGAGGAGTGAAGTTGAGCGGCTGGCTTCACGCTCTGCTCCCTCTCCCTCTGCCAGCTGATTTCCATCATTGGGCCCTTGTATGTCGATCTTGCCTTATTGTCCCCAGGTTGTTTTGTGAGCATCAAAGTTCTCTCCTTCTCCCTCTCCCTTTCTCCCCCACCCTCTCCCTCCTCTCTGTTCTCTCTTCTCTCCCCTCTCTCCTCTCTCTTTCTCTCTCTCTCCTCTCTTTCTCTCTCTTCTCTCTTCTCTCTTCTCTCTCTCTCCCCATCTCTCCCCCCTCTCCTCTCTCTTTCTCTCCTTTCTCTTCTCTCTCTCTCCTCTCTCTCTCCTCTCTCTTCTCTCTCTCTCCTCTCTCTTCTCTCTCTCTCTCTCTCTCTCTCTCTCCTCTCTTCTCTTCTCTTCCCTCTTTCTCTCTCTCTCCTCTCTTTCTCTCTCTTCTCTCTTCTCTCTTCTCTCTCTCTCCCCATCTCTCCCCCCTCTCCTCTCTCTTTCTCTCCTTTCTCTTCTCTCTCTCTCCTCTCTCTCTCTCTCCTCTCTCTTCTCTCTCTCTCTCTCCTCTCTTCTCTTCCCTCTTTCTCTCTTCTCTCCCCCTCCTCTCTATTCGGCTAACACTGTGTGTATTTCTCTCACCTTCCTTAGATGAGCCAGCAAGCCCGGGCATGTTTTGCTCATGATAAAGGCAGAGCTCAAAATAGCAAGGTTCAATGTCACAAGCATTTTTCAGGGCCAATTCTACCCCATCTGTTAACAATGGCCTTGATCAAAGAAAGTCAATTAATCAGCCTTGAAATTCAAGAAGCAGCAACACACTGTCTTTCCTGAGGTGGCTAGGGATAGGTAAATGCCTCTGGGTCAGCCACAGCTATATGTTAGGTCATCACTGAAGGTTTGCAGAGCAGAGTGGGAGAGAAGAGTGTTGTATTCTGAGGGCTTCTGTAGGCATTCATTGTACCAGGTACAGAAGTCTTAGGGACTCCCTCCCCCAAACCCCGCTCCCATATGCATCTCTACAGAGAAATCTCAAAGCCTTGCATTAGAGATCACAGCCTGTCCACAACAGTTACATCTACTGAACCAATGAAGGAATTCCTCAGACTGCCCCCAGCCCCAAAATGCTTGGCTGTCTCTGGGAGAGAGGATGAGGATCTCTGGGTTGAGATAAAGCATCTCTCAGTGGACAGATTCGTTGCCAGGCCAGGGAACAATTCTGTTTCATGGCCTTTGGAAATGCAGTGTCCAGATAAATGCTCACATGTTTGTTAAACTCAAGATCCACGTCTAAAAGAGATCCTGGACTGGGGATGCAGCTCAGTTGGTTTCTGTGTGCCTAGCATGGGTGGGGCCCAGGGTTTTATCCCCAGCAACAAATAAACTGGAAGTGGTTGTGCACACCTGTAATCCCAGCACTCAGAAGCCAGAGGCATTCCTGGCTATATAACAAGTTTGGGGCTAGCCTGAGCTCTATGTGCTATCCTGTCTCAAAAGGCATTGGAAGTCCAGAGCATGCGTTTCCCCTCTCGGTTTCTGACCTTTGGGGGTTTGGTTCCTCTCCTTTGGTGAATTGAAAAGTAACAATTTATTCTTCTCTCTGTCTCCCCGCCACAGGTGTGCTGAGCTTACCAGAGAGTCTGAACCTGCACCGAGACCCACAGCGGCCCAGCAAGCCAGGAGAGCTACCCATGTTCAGCCAGTCGGAGCTGAGGACCATTGAACAGTCCCTGCTGGCCACACGTGTAGGCAGCATCGCTGAGCTCAGTAAGTGGATGCCAGCTCGTCAGCCTGGTGCCCTTGACACTTAGCCTCTCTGCGTCCAACGTGACATGCCAGTCTTTCACGCCACAGGTGCCCATGCTGATCTGGCCAGTACACTTTTATTGCATGCTTACTGTGTGTGCAAAACAGTACTGGTGAAAATGGAAAGGTGGGGGCTCTAGAGAAAGGAGGCCTGGTAAATCTCCCAGCTCTGTCGTTACTGCAGGAGAAATCCATTCCTCATCTGCCCTGAGCCTCAATTTCTTTTTTGATTAGATTGAAGAAATAATCTCAGCTGACACAGGGTATGGTTCTGATATGGGAATGCACAGATGCCCGTCTCGGGGCCTGGCACCCTGCCTGCTGCAGGCAATATGCATGTTTTCTAAACAGTGCCCATTGTTGATGTCTACAACAGCATCTGTTGAGCACGCATGTCAGAGTAGCTCTCTGTTGAGTTCAGAACACTCCACTGGTTCCTCTCTGACCCACAGGATAAACCAAAGACCTCAGAACTGCTGTCAGGACCCTCAGGACCTTTGCACTGACTGTTCCCCCAGCCAAAACAGCTCTCCGTGCCTTTCTATGAAACAAAACTCTTTAAGAACTTCTTGTCTTACTTCAGGCTATTAAAACAAAACAGTAGAGTACACAGGGTGGGTCAAAAGGCATGTCTTTAGGGCTGGAGAGATGGCATAACAGTTAGGGGCACTTACTGTGAGACAATGGTCTTGTAACCCTGCAAAGATTTGTCTCTTGTGTTGGTTTAATAAAGCACTAATTAACCAGTAGCCAGGCAGGAAGTATAGGCAGGGCAACCAGAATAGGAGAATTCTGGGAAAAGAAAAGGCTAAGTCTGCAGTCGTCACCCAGACCCAGAGGAAGCAAGATGAGAAAGTCTCACTGATAAAAAGTACCAAGCCATGTGGCTAACACAGACAAGAATTGTGGGCTAATTTAAGATGTAAGAGTTAGTTAATAAAAAGCCTGAGCTAATAGGCCAACTAGTTTATAATTAATGTAGACCTCTGTGTGTTTCTCTGGGACTGAATGGCAGCAGGACTGAGCAGGACAGAAACCTCTGTCAACAGGCACTTACTGTTCTTGCAGAAGATTCTAATTTGGTTCCTAGCACACATGTTGGGAGGCTCACATCTACCTGTAACTGCAGCTCCAGGAATTTGATCACCTCTTCTGGCATTTAAGAGTGCCCTCTTACATGTGTGAATACACAGACGCAGGGATACCCTCACACACATGTGCATACATGGAGGCAGGGATACCCTCACACACATGTGAATACACAGAGACAGGGATAGCCTCACACATGTATGTCCATACAAAGTCAGGGATACCCTCACACACATGTGCATACACAGAGGCAGGGATACCCTCACACATGTGGATATACACGGAGACAGGGATACCCTCACACACGTATGTCCACACAAAGGCAGGGATGCCCTCACACATGTGGATATACACGGAGACAGGGATACCCTCACACATATATGTCCACACAGAGGCAGGGATGCCCTCACACATATATGTCCACACAGAGGCAGGGATACCCTCACACACGTATGTTCACACAAAGGCAGGGATGCCCTCACACACATATGTCCACACAGAGGCAGGGATGCCCCCACACATGCGTGCTTACACAGAGGCAGGGATTAGGGAAAGGGAGAGTCATTTATTTCTCACAGTGTTTGAGGCTGGGAAAGCCAACGTCAGATACTCAGCTTCTGGTGAGGACTCTCTGCCTGGCTTGCAGTTGGTAACTTCTCACTCTGGGGGTGGGGGCGGTTTTTCCTCTTTCTATAAGACCCCAAGGGCCCCACTCTCTTGGACTTGCCCAATCCTAAGCATATGCCAAAGGCCCTACTTTCTCAGTCTCACACTGAGGGCTGAGGCTTCCATGTGTGAACTGGGAAGACATAAGCACCCAGTCCATCAATCCATGGCTACTTTCATCCCTGTCACTCTGGAGTGTCATGCCCAGCAGTTACCATCCTATAGCATACTTCATACATCTGTGGTTCCACAGTCTCCTTATTGAGGCATAATTCACATGCCACTTGCCTATGCACACAAATCAATCATTTCTAGTCTATTTAACAAGTTGTGCAGCCACAACCATGGTCCGTTTTAGAACATCTTTATTACTCCAATTAAAAAGCCAGTACCCATAATAACCCCCTATCTCCCCTCTCCTAATCACACTCCACATTTCACTTCATTATTTATTTTATTGTCTCTCTCCCTGCTGGAAGCTGTTTTCTCTTCCTGACAGTACAAATATTTTATTTGTTCACTGGCAGAGGAACGTCAGATATGTGGTACATAATAGGGCTGCAGGAAGGATGGAGTACAAAAGAAAGGAAAGAGGGACCCAAAAATATAAAGGAAATAAGGGAAGATGTGAGGTCAAGTTTGCTAGCTGACTCGATCAGATTTAAACATGCCTAGGGAGGACCATTGGGTTCACTCTGTGGGCTCAGGTGTTGCTACCAAGCCTAATGACCCAAATTCCATCCTCAGGACCCACATGGTGAAAGAAGGGAACCCCCTCCTCCAACTGTCCTCTGACACCCCCATGCATGCCTTGGAACGTGCACACACATATAATACACAAATAAATACTGTGAAAAAATAAGACATGTCTAAGAGATTGGGAAGCACTCTTCTGGGTGTGACTGTGATGGTATTTCCAGAGACAATGATCATGAAGGTTTGGTCCTAATGAGTGGATTCATCCCTTGAAGAAGTCATAATAAGATAGCATTATTGGCAGGTAGCAAAAGGTAGGAGGCCAAGTTAGTGGAAGTAAATCACTGGGGTGTCCTTGGGGACATATATGTATGTCACACTGGTGTCTTCCGGTATGCCTCCCTCTCTATTTCCCACCCACAAAGAAGCAAAGAACAACCTTTACCACACATTCCCGCCATCATGATTTTCTGCCCCAGTACATGAGGCCAAGAGAGGACCCAGGGTTTCAGAAAACTGAACCCTGTGAGCCAAAGCAAATCCTTCCTCTCTTGTTTCTTTCAGGCATTCTGGCAGCAATACAAAAACAACTCGGACAGAGCAATAGTTAAAGTTGGGGTGTCCCAGGTTTGAAGAATAATTGGTTGTGTACCCCTAATTCAGGCTTGTGCTCTCCAGGAGACCAACTCTATCCATTTATCTCTGTTTCTGTGATAATATGCTCCTGACCAAAAGCAGTCCGGAGGAGTAATGGGTTTATTTGAGCTTCCTCCCATCACTGAGGTCACACCCATCACTGAGGGAAGTCCAGGCACACACTCAGGCAGGAACCTGGAGGCAGGAACTGAAGCAGAGGGAGTGGAAGAGTGTAACTTGCTGGTTTTGTCCTCAACTCCTGGTCAGCCTGCTTTCTTATCTCAAGGCTACCTGCCTGGGGATGGCACCACCCACAGTGGGCTAGGCCTTCCCGCGTCAATCAATCAACACTCAGGGCAGTTCCCCCACAGACCTGACCACTGGCCCATCTGGTCTGAGAATGCCCTGGAAATTCCTCTGTTGAGATCCTGTCTTTCCGTGGGACTTCTTGTCTGCGTCAAGTTGACAATAAAACCTAACCAGGACGCCAAGCAGAGGAGATTACCACTGCATTTGCTCAAGACGCAGTTGAAGGGCAAATAGTTATCTGTCTATCAGTTCCTGGTGAGCTGGAGTGTTGATTTCTGCATCACTAAACTCTGCAGAAATTGATACAGTGATTCCAGCAGATCCTGAGCAGTGAGAAGCTTCTGGACGCAGAACCCACCCTGAACCTCCTCCTAGAGGAATCCCTGAGCCCACCCAGGACATGGCCCTTTTGGGGGACATGCTACATCTCTGTGATGGCAAGCCATGGGAGCTGTCAATGCTCCCATTCGTTACTTCTCTTTCACTGTAACCATCTAACAGAAACTCTTAAGGGAAAGGGGTCTGTTTGGGCTGGCAGTTTCAGAAGGTCCCTCTGCTGGCAACTTGGTTCTGTGCTACTTGGCTAACTATGAGGCTCACCATCATGGTGGGGGGAGCATGTGGCCAGGGGCCCTTTTTCACTTCCATGAAAACAGGAAGCCTAGAGCAAAACAGGAAGAAAGCAAGGGCATGAGACCCTCAAGGACCCATCTCCAGAGACTACTTGCTCCACCTCGGTCTCACCTCCTGGAGTTTCTAGAGCCTTCCAAAATAGCACCGCCTGCCAGAAATCAAATCTCTGATAGATGAGCATTTTAAGTGAGGACACCTCCTATGCAAACCATAGTAGTCATGAAATAGCTGCCTTCCTGGCCTCTGGGTGGGGAGGTTGGATTTCCATCCCTTTAAACCCTCTGGTCATGTGATACCCCCAGTAACAACCTTCTCACTCCTGCTTGTGTGGTTGGTCTTACAGTTTTTAGTAACATGGCCTTGTTGGCAGTCTGGTGAAGTCTAGAGACCCTGCCTTAGAATGTTTTTAGTGCATAACATACAAGACTATAAATCAAACCAAATCTTTTGCATTTAAATTATGGCATAGTCATGTTGTGCTTTTTTAGATTTATTTTTTATGTGTATGAATGTTTTGCCTACATGTTCATATGTACAACATGTATATGAAGTGCCCAAGGAGACCAAAAGAGTGTGTCAGATGCCCTGGAACTGGAGTTACAGATGGTTGTCATCCACCATGAGGGTGCTGAGAATCAAGCCCAGGTCTTCTGAAAGAGCAGGAAGTGTGCTCTTGATGACAGAGTCATCTCTCCAGCCCCATGTCCTGTGCCTCTATTAGCACAGAATATGGCAGAATCTAGAAGTGAGGCTGATGACCACATAATTCTGAAGCCGCAATATTTATGGAATAAGATTCTGAGGTATTCACAAGGAGGCAAGGGATGTTTACATTTTACACACTCTCAGGGTGTCTTGGGCATGTGCCGAGGCCCCAAGCAACACCCTTGGGAAGCATCACCAGAAGACAGAATACCACACTTTTGGACCTT